ACGTTTCTGACTTTCTTCCCACATCTACTTCGTGTCATGTAGTGATCGACTGGATGACTACGTCGGATAACATCAGGAGAGGGAGGTCCGTCGGGTTTACTAGATACCAAATTGTGTAGTCACTTTCTGATTCTTTCAAACGTGTTTTTGGGTCTTTTCCAGTTTGGTTGTCCTCTTCTACCTTGCTACTTTGTGCAGGGCCGTGACCCTGACGGCAGGAGCCAAGACCAGGTCATCCGTGTGTCGAATAGCAGTAGTCAGGAGCCAAGACCAGGTCATCCGTGTGTCGAATAGCAGTAGTATTGCGTGGCATCGAAATGATTTTCTAGTTTTGGTCTTCTCGATCAGAGTGTTGATCCTGGAGATTACCGGCACGGTTTCTCAAATTTGGTGTCGATAAATGGAATACTGTACCAACGCCAGCGGATTGCTACTCGAAGTTGGTAAAATTTTCCGAAGAATAAATGTTCCTAGTGCTGGCGAAGTATCAGTACCGTGTGTTGGTGGCGACATTGATTTACCTGGCAACTTACACACGTTCGCGGTGTGTACACTTTGACTGTGGACAGTCCCATATACCCATGGTGCGGAGTCCGAGATCCAAAACTGAGCAATCCTGACGTGGAAGAATGAGAGCAGCTGCAGATCCGACGTGCAGTCTAACGAGCGAGCGAGCGGTCAGCTCTGGACTGGCAGCTCAGAGAGTAAATGGCCGCTTAAAATTGTCGGTCTCGAGAGAAAGTGGCAACCAAGGCGCTGCAGGCAATCACGCAAACAGTGGCGACCTGGGAGTGTGCGTACGAGTGTAAGTGCGAGTGTGGAGTGTACGGCGAGAGAGCAAGAGTCTCTATACAGAAGCGAGTGAGGGCGAAGTGAGAGTGTGTGATTGTGGCAAGTCGAAGTGTGGCAGCGCTGACGGGAAATTAGTGACAGCACCGGGGTCAAACTGCCGTCTGACGTGGGCGAGCGTCATGAGGTGGCAGTGATGCGAGTGGTGGGTCAGAGTCTCGCTTCGTGCCCCATTACCAATAGCAGAGTTGCGTGGACGGAGACCAGTGGGTTGACGTTGACGTTCGTTGTGAGAGGCTTTGCAAGGAGAGTGACTAGCGTTCGAGTGGAGCGTGCGGGCCGCGGCGACGGAGACGCAAGGCCTAGGGAAAGATCCCCAAAGTTACGTGTCATTTTACAGGAAGGAATCCCGTGGCTTAGGCGAGGGTGTGCTGACCGTTTCTGGTGAAATCGTGCCCCGACGTGCAAACAACATAGTGGCGGTCCAAGTACAGCCGAACCTAGGGAGGATCTCGGTCGTGGACCGGAGCAAACGAGTAAGAAGTCTTTGACATGGTCAGAACAAGTGAGAGTCCCCGTCGATACATTTGAGAGGTCCTGGCGTAAGCCGAGCAACGGGTGTGAAAATACCTAGCGCACCATCACAGCAAGCGAGTGTGTACGAGTAGCGAGCGAAGTGCGAGCTAATACATTTCAGGAACGGAGGCGTTCCGGCTCACGTCGATCCTCGTCACCCGTTGGTGTCGAAGTGTTGTTGGTGTAGTCTACTAGCGAGCTACTGGAGAACAGCCGCAGGAAGCACAAATAATATACGATCCGCCGGCGAGCAGACGTTAACTAGATCCGTACATGGTGATCATACAGGGGCGTCGTCAAGGAGAAACGAGCTAATTGAATTCAGCGGATTACTACAAGTTATCAGGGTGGCTACAGCAACTATGGTCTGTATACGCACTGATAAGAAGCAGTTGAAGAGAACGAGTCTGTCAAGCGACAACGAGTTGCCGCAAAGTGAAAAGTCGTGGACGTGAGCGACGATAGTAGCAAGTCGAGTGCGCCGACTACGAGGAAGAAGGAAAATTATGGAAGTAGTCACGATGCCGTAGCCAACCGGCAGCCGAGTGAAAGGTCAGCACGACCTGGTGATGATCAAGACGTCGTGGAGTTGCATGGCAACACCGACCTGACCTCGATCACCGCAACATTGCAGCAGTTGATGACGATGATGAAGGACCTACAGGCAGGGTTCCGCCGTATCAGTATAAAACTGAATTGGAGCGAAGTGTGCACAGTAATACATGTTTCAATTTCTTGGGAAGGCAATAATAAATATTGCTGCAATTTCATTAATTTATTCCTCTAGTTACGTCTTGCTCGCCTGTTTCCTCCACCCATTCCTGCGTCCGTACCTACTGGGATTTCGGTTCTGTAATCAACAGGCCACGAGGTCCCTAGCAGCTTGCGCTTCGAAGCGCATCAGCGTGTCTTGAGGTAAATCGGCAGCCGGTTGCCACGTCAGGCGTTCGAAGCCAACCCAGGAGACGAGGGAGTATGCGCTTCCTCTTGCGTCCATCTTTTTTTAGCGTAAATAATATCCATAGTAAAGAGATTTTCGCCTTCAAACTCGGAGCCGTCGCTCTCCGAGGAGGTGTGGTCGGCAACAGTGGCAATTACAGTGGAGCTTACCGTCCACTCGCCCACCAGCTCGGCCATCGTCACCTGGCGGACCGGCTGAGGATGTTGCTGAGGGCGCTGGGGAGGGCGCTGCTGAGTGCGTTGCTGAGGGCGTTGCTGACGCCTGCTTTCAGCTAGGCGGCCGATCTGAGCGAGGCGCTTGCTCTTCTTGGGCATCTACAATCGGAAATGGTCATGATGCACATCAAGTTGAAGTGAGCCTATAAATAAATATTACTACTTAAGAAAAAATGTTAAATATAATAATGTATTGCACATCTCATTAGAAAGGGACCAATGTGCATTCATTTTTTAAATTGCATCTTCTTCATCAATATTAACAAGTAGAAAGATCTACGACATTCATCGTATAGCCGAAATGCGGGGCTACAAATGTACGATTTGTTTAAGCTACGTTTCCCACCCCTGGGACTCAAAAATATTTTTTTTGAAGTCGAAAAGATAATTGTATATGTGCCAGACACTCGCGGATATTTCTATTGAGTTAAACACTACACACTATCTTCCTCACTACAGCTAGCAACCGTGGTAACGTCCCACAGGCCACGGTTGACTCGCAGGAATGCTAGCTGCTCGAAATTCGCAGGCATCATGGCGCGGCGTAGAGGTGTCAGAACGTGCTTGCACTGCGAAAACAGTCGCTCTACGTGGGGGGGATCAGCTGCACAAGCCGCACGTACCTGGCAGTGCTTGGCGATACCTTCTACTTTTTGCCCTGCAGTAGCATTGACGCGTAGTCCTCTTCCCGTTCCTTCCGCTTCTTCCCTGTGGTGTCCTTGACCGCAAACCTCTTCAATGCTGTCGTTTCTGCCGTCGATAGCGCTGAGCCGTTGATTACATATAGCCCAAGAACCAGGGCTCAAAATTATTAAGAACACTAATAACTTTTATGCTTCAATACCAGAAGTGCTTTATTTATTTTTATTGCGGCCAAGCCGCTATCTATGTTTAACTATCTAGCATAGTTAAACCTAATCAAATGCATATCGTGTGGCCCTCAGCCTATGTACTGAGGCCACTGTGAACTCTACGAGTCATACCCATGTGTGCGCCACACCCGTGTAACCCCGTTACAGATATACCAAAAGGTACGCGATAATATGGCTACACTATGTGGTTAACTGCTTTAAATGTTATAATTATTTTGTTTTACTAGACATGTATATATAGCTCAGAAAAAAGCATGGATGGACACTCGGGTGTGGGGTTCTACCTACGCTCTTCGTGTACTGGCACATCTCTGAGCTCTCTATTCTTCTAGTCGACAACCTTGATTGTCATGTGTCTGACGAGCCAGAGGAGATTATTGCGGATGAGATGCTGACAATTCTACAGTCTTTGTCCAAAACTCGACTTCGATATACCAGCCGTTGGATGTTGGTTTTATGGGTCCATATAAGGCCAAATTGAAGGAACTATGGATGCTAGAAAGACTCCTGCCACCAAAAGATGGAGAAAAGAGGTAAAAAAAAAACACCAAGCAAAAGCGCTTAGAGACGATCAGTCGAGCGATAAAGGCGTGGGAATATATAAGCCAACGGCAGTCACATTATTTTTTAATAAAGTGCTTCTTACTAATTTTTAGCAAAATACAGCTGCCTCCTTATTTTGCCTTAAATTAGTATCTAAAATTTCGAATACCACCAACTGGGTGATGAAAAATATGCAATCATATTCGTGCCACTATCAACAAGTGGTGACAGTTATATTTTGCCCGTTGCTGTACAATCGAAGAATAGGGTTACGCGAGGCTGGGATAGGATCATGACACTTTCGTTTTTAGAGCCTGTAATTAACTAGTACCTTGGGTACATGCTCATGACTACGTACGAAGGATGCACAAGAAAATACTGTAACAATGTAACAGGTACTATTATCTGTCCTACGAGTGCTAAAACTGTAGCGACCCGCAAACACAGCGAAGGTGAGATTAGGAGACAAACGGGCATCGCTAGTAGTGGTATCTAAAACGAGAAAGCAATAATATTCTCGTGCTTAGGCTGACTAGGCCCTACAGATCTTTGAGATAATTAAAAAGATCATGATCCCGAACTACGCATCTTTTTGAACCTACTTCGCAGCCACAGCATCTGATCTGTGGTCATGAAGGACCCAAATTCAATTCGATTAATGATTTGGTAGTACTTTCAGAAATGCCACGTTTATGTACTTTTCTTTCAGCATCTCCTATCATAGTACGCAAAACAGTAAAATGAACTTGAAGACATTGCAAGAAGCTAGATAATTTTGCAATTTCGAATTTTAAGTCTAGTAAAAAAAACTCCTTCTGTCTGTACCGCTGGGCCTACGTAATGGAGTAGATGGCTATGTTCTTCGTCTTGACGTCAGCCATAAAACTAGGTAAGTGGTTCGCCTCCATCATCTTGTCACAAGCAAGCTACCACTCAAGAAAAATCTTTCGCTTTGATTGTACCGGAATTTGTATTGACATACCGATAGTGCCCATCCCACCACATCAAAGCTTTTGGGAGCCAGGTTATCGCTACTGACGTACTGATACCTATACCGGTATACTGGGATAATCGTCCCAACAAATTTACCCCCGTTGGCTGTCCCTTTCAGCACTCAAGTGCATCCTATCCCGGTATAAAATAAAAATAAAATGATTATCCATAATTACCGATTGGTACGTTCAGGTACTGTTGCATAGAAAAACCAACGTGAATTTTTTTGTCTGGATTTTTCTGGCGGAAAAGTTTTTAAACCCATAGAAGGTTAACACTGCAGTTGAAAGAAAAAAAAAACTAAGAGATAGCTATAGAGGTCGATGATATACACTCATATTGTGGTGAAGTGACAGTTGGCTTCTGGGAACAAGGGACTGATTGATGGGATGTGACCCGATCCAGTTTTGAGACACATGGTCGACGACGGCGAATCAGTGATTATGTCATCATCCAATGAAGATTATGTAATCATCGGAGTGGATCGACATGGTGCAATAATTTAGACACGCGATCTACCTCCAAGGAGTCGATCTACGATGGACACATCAACTGATTTGTACCAAGTGTCTTCGGTTCAAGATTGGCGGGAAGTATATTGACCCATACAGTAATCAAGTTAATTCTACCAAGAACACGTGTCAATC